CTAATTTAGAAGTTTCCTAAAGATATTCAGTTAAGACAAGCTCAAGTTAATGGCAACTCAATTTAACTTTGCTGTAAGGGAATAATTTGAGTGGATTGGTTTTTTAATCTTATCTGAATAGCAAGGTGAGAAAAGACAAGCAAAAAAAAAAAGTGAGATTGTACATAAGTTAGTTCTATAATTAACGTAAAGACTAGCCATGAATAAGCTGTAATGTTTGGAGCTTTTTGTTTTTCGACTACCTTAATTTAACAGGAAAATTATACCTAGCAGTGAGCTGTTATGTGCAAGTTAATACTGAAACAGTAATGAACCGTATTTCTTTATTCAACATGCGCCATACAAATAGATTTAAATGCATTTATTCTCTCTTGATTTTTATGCATACTACAAATTGCAAATATAGTATAAAATAGATTCTCCCCCATAAGAAAATCTGGTTCCTGTTATGACAAAAATATAGTATTAACGATTTGTTTTAAAAATACCAACTTTATAAAATGCTCAGTAAAAAACCAACATCAGTGGTTAGTTTATGTATTAAGCCAAAGATCCATTAGAAGTCTACAAGAACCTAAAGGGGAAACATCTTATTCTTGTTGCTTATCTCTGGGTACAGCGAGAAATAGTTGCCACTACAGGTGCATGAATAAGAAGCTAATTTCTCTTATCTATTGGGCAAGCATTAAAGGATCTTTAATGTCAAGTGTGACAAGTAGCTGTAATTCTCACTGTAGTCCAGAGTATAAAATTTGCTCAACAGTAGGCTGACCTTTTGGTTTGAGTCATGTTAGAAGGATAAATACAATTTAGTACAGTATGGAACTCTACTTAAACTTTTAAATAAAACGTTGAATTAAGAAGGTGCTGCGAGAAGTAATGCAGCATTTTTCAAGGACTTAACAAGAGAAGCAATGCTGGCTTTTCTTCATTCATTCTTAAAACTTACTTTTCTGTACTTAAGAAGGTCAAGTTAACATTTTCTGCACTGTTTTAAATACTGGAACATTTCATAGAAGCGTATCTTGAATTTGGAAACTTGTTCCTTGTGCTACCTACAGGTTAATCTGCAGTAAACTGAAAAACCTTAGCTTGACCAAACAAACTGTGAAACGAGCTGTTTGACATGCTTTAGAAAATCTGTAGATGCATAGATGTGGCTCCATCCTTCCACTTGTTAACATGGTCTGAAATAACAGTTCTGCAGAGTGGACACGTTTTTTCTCTATTAAACCATAAAGAGATGCATTCTTCACAAAATGTGTGCTGTAATGAAAAGAATGAGAACTTAGAGCTTCTAAGCTCTTCCGTTCATCAGACGGTGTATTATTTGCATAGCCTGATTTATAAAAATAATCAGAAGACATAAACTCACTAACTTGATGTTGTGTTGTTTAAAGTATTTTTAAGTTTGCAAACAAGATTTCTGATCGTATGTATTACCTGACAGATCAGCAGAATAGGCTTCTGAAATTCAGCTTGGCAGATTGAACAGATATCATCCGACTCGGAGCACTGCCTCTTGCTGGCTGTCACCCCGTAGTGCTGTAAAACAAGGTATTTTCAGCAGGTTTTACTTTCTAGGAGTAGAGGAAGCCAAAACACAGAAATCCCAGGACAGAATATTGGGAATAAGGGCTGCTACATCAGGGAAACTATTCAATTCCTAATCCAATGAAATGTTGTTAAGTTTTTTAATAGCAGTTCTATTTTAACAGAGGTCGACCTCCAAGTAAAGTGAAGTTCCAATTTGATCAGGATAGCACTTGGGAAATGAGAAGTGCGTTATTATTCTTTTAGTTCAGCGACACTGTGCACATTCTAGATATTTTACTGCATGAATAACAGACTCTAAACAATAGCTTTTACTACAGAGAAAGATTATCCAAAAACTTAGGATTCTAACAGAAGTTACTTGCCTGTCAATTATTTTGGCAAGCTTCCATTCTCACTCAACTTCAGCGTAAAGCCCTGCCTGCATCCAACCAATACTTATTCCAGTTAGAAAGTGGGAAACAGAACAAAAAGGATATGTCATTCCACATACGTTTGTATGAAGAGGCATGCAGAATAGATATTTGGTGGAGTTTTTTGTTGCTGTTGTCATTCAGATGACAACATAATCATGTATTCAAGGAATTCAGACTGTGAAACAGGAGACCAAGTATACAGGGTTTCCTTTAAAAATGCATTTGTCTCTTGCTAGAACAATACAAAGTAATATGGGAGTGAGGTATTTAAAAAAGAAGTATTTTCATGTCAACTGGGTTTATTGTTTTTTTGTAAGAGAATTCAGTACTCACTGGTCGCGTACAAAATATCCGCAAGACATGCCTGAAGTTTTTCAGTTGTCCAAAAAAGCTCAAAAGCTGAAACAGGAAAGAAAACCTGAGTTACACTTGGTATTTTTCTCTGTGAACTGAAAAGCTTCCAAGCTTTTGTGCAGATTCCAATACTAGAAGTCTTGCTGCTAGTTTGATGTTGGCAGGAACATAATCAAAGTGATATAGTTCAGGCTGATCTTCTTTTAGTTGCTAAATATGTAACCAAAGTAGGAATTTAGCCTCAAGTTTTTTTTCCGAGTAGGTGTCTCTTGCTTAAAAGAAAAATAGCACTGAAGTTCTGAAATGAAACGCTCAAATGCAAATGTACCAGCATTATTATCAGATGTGAAATAGTCTTTAGGCTTATAATTAAGATACCATAGCGTTATAAAGTATTTTTCATGTTCAAAGTGAAACTTGTACTGAGTCTGGTGACATTTGGGGCAGAAGAGCTCTGGGGTGGACAGGCAGTACAAACACTTAGGTTTAACTTGTTAAGCATCACACAGGATACTCTGGCAGAGAGAAAATCTAATTTCCGGGAAAATGTTGATTCAGCTGTGAATCTTGCCTTTATTTTTGCAAGTTCTTTTCCTGAATGTTTGCGAACAGTCTGATCAGTATCACTGTTCTCTGCCATGCAACCTCACTCCATTCCCAGAACAGGTGCAGGAGAGAGAAGATTTAGCGTCCTGAGCCAGTTTCCTATCAGTTCTGGAAGGCTGTATCAGTTAAAGTGAAGCATTGACTTGCAAGTCAGTTCAGACACAGGGCAACTCTCAGGAATGTGTTAGCTTGCGCCTCTAACCCTTACTGCAAAGTCTGAGATAAATATAAAGCTTACATACTTTCAGGATGAGGTAGAGAAGGCCCAGCAATATCCCAAGGGTCCATCCTAGTACACTGTCCGGCTCCCCATAGCCAATAAGATAACGGAACCAAACTGGTATGGGGACAAACATACGGTAATACTGGCAGAGTTCTTCTAACAGCATGTACCAGTAGCCCTAAGCGAGACATGCAAAGGAATCGCTCAAGATTTAAAACACAAAGGATTTTTAAAATACAGAGAAAAGATGCATTGTTATTCTTTTCAGTAACTTCTCTCGCAATATCTAGAAACAACTAAATATGAAGCATGAAAAAGAACGAAGACCAGGCGATGAGTCTCACCACAACTGCACAAATAACAGTAACAGGATTGCTGTACTTGCAGAAAATCAAATTAATAGGCTAAAATAGGATGGCTTTGTCAGATGCCTGCCTACTTAACCATGCTATCAGCCTTAATTTCTTAAGCATTAAAAAAGAAACTAAGTTACATAAGAAAGGAAAATAAGACAAATTTGGTCACATAAATCAGCTTGTCATTAGCAGAGTTGTGTCCTACGCTGCTCCTTTAACTGAGCCACAGTGTAGGCCACAGGTGGTGTAACAGAATTTTCAGTAACTATTTTTTGGATGTTATATCACTAGCTGCAGAATACCAGATTATAAACTGGTATTTAGAGAAATCAGTTGTACCTGAGAAAAACTTCTGGTACATTTCAAGAGAAAACCTACCAAAACATCCTGTTCAAATGGTACCACATATGAACATTATTTGTCTGTGGGTTGGATTTTTGTTGGGTTTTTTATTGTTTGCTTTTTAACCAGTACTAGTATTTGCTGTTTTGACATAAAATCTCATTGGTTTTGCCTGTCTCACCTCAGGAAGCAGATAAAAATAAACACCCCACCAACCAGTGTAGGCTCCTGTGAAAATGATTAAACTTAACTGGCTTGAGGAATTTAGCTATAAATCAAATTCACTGGTCTGACACAAATATTGCTCAAGTTTATTAACAAAAAGAAAATTCAGAAGTATTTTTTGAAGAGACAAAAAACCCAGGTGTTTGCATGCACCAGATCTTGAGTCTTTCCATGTCAGTTACTGTCGAGCACGGAAAAAATTTGCTGTGCTTCAGCTGCTCCATGCTGATCACCTGGATACACATTCGTGCGTTAGAGCAAATAAAAGGTTTCTTCATGTCCCACACTTAGACAGAAATAACCCCGTTTAGCTCATGACTTAATACAAGCAATTGTTTCAGATCAGGCTAAACTTTCCTTAGCACCAAGCAGAGAAGAACATGAAATCCACAGGGTTTTCTTGCCCACAGTGTAGTGGTGGATTATATACAGACCTTTAATTGAAAAAGACTTCTCTCTGGGTAGAGTTTAATAATTAGCTAATTTTACCATAAAGGCATCTTCATAAGGAAGGAAAAATATAGCTTGTTTCCTTACCTTGGATTTAAAGGACATCATAAAAGAAGGCACCAAGAGAATAAAGCACTTGAAGCCCATGAAGAGGAATTTCAGAATGAAGTCTGTAATTCCCACAATCCAAAGTACCTCCCAGAAGTTCCTAAAATCCACAGTGGGGTTTAAGAAGATTAAGCTACAAAAAAGAAGTATCAGAAGTTACTGGAGCACCCTACTTAGAGGAAAGCAAAACCAGAGCTTATCATGGCAGGTTTAATTAAGAAAAGGAAACGTAGTTTACACAGAGGAAAAATATTTGCTAAGAGAAGGAACCTTTTATCGTAACTCAGTAATTTACGATCACTGGCAACCTTCCCATTTTTGAACCTTCTTTCCTGCATCTTCATCACACCCCCGTCCTCTAGAGACAGGCTCGCTTTCTCTTTTTAGCAGCACAGCCTTTGCCTGATTTACAACCAAAACTGCAGCTAGAGAATGGCAAGGGAAACAAAACAGACTGGAGACATGAACTCCACAGAGCCCCAAAACACCGTATTCAGTATTCGGACGGCGAGGTGGCAGGGAACCCGGGTACGTTCCCATTGGCACCGTAGTGCCATTAAGTAAAGTACGAGGTCTAATCTTGCAAATTCTGACATGCTGGTTTTAAGGACAGCACCTGTTCTGTTTGGCAGAAGAGGAGGAATGGAGATTAAAATGAAAAAGAAAACAATGCTACAATTAAAGAAAAACAGGAGCAGTCCAGATAAAGTGTTCCCGGTTAATATATAAATTTGAGTCATTTATGAGGGAAGCAGAGATCTTCCTTTCCTTACCTGTAATACAGCGACTGCGCATGAAAGGTGTAATATAAGAGGAGAGATGATCCGGTTAGGTATACTAGTAACCAAGCACATTGCAACTTGGAGCACCGTTCCTGCAAGATAATCATAAAGACATGTTACAGGCCTCATCTCAGCATCTTAAACAGACCTCCAAAGCACCGAGTCTGCTGCACCCAATCAGAGACTTACTACTAGTGGGTTTTATCGTAGTGGTTTTAGGCTAAATAAAACAGGAACACTAAATAAAAAAGTAAAGTAATTTTAATGTTTTTAATGTAACAATTTCTATGTGTATCAAGGTTTTATTTTCTAAAAACACAACCAAAAGCCACCCCTGCTCTCAAGAAACAACAGATTTTCCTTCGGGAATGAGGGAGACAGGTGCAAGTTTAAATTGTCAGCTGCTATTTGGTTCCACAAATATAGTTAAGAAGTTGTTCCATAAATTCCAAAAAACTTTTTATCAGTTGAAGTTACTGAAATATTCAAAGTCAGAGGAGGGGGGAAAAACACTCGTTCTGAATTTTGCAAACCTTACTTATCTGAGAAGCTGTACGCTATACAGAAGCATTAAGACTCTACTTCCATCTTGAAACCTTGACACCTAGCATTATTAGGTAAATAAAACAATATCTCCCTTCACATTTCTTTCAAAAAATGATGGATAAAGGTCTTGGTTAACTTACAGAATTTTGTTGCATAGGGTGATACTTACTCTTAGAAAAACCTGATTTACTATGCTTTTGTTTGCATACATATAAGTTGTTAGCAGCCCAATTCCAAGAGAAATGCCTATTAGGAAAAAAGGGTCAGTTATACACAAGAAAATTAAAAAAAAAATACTGAACTGGGTTAAAAAAATAGCCATTTCTAATATGTCTTTGTAATTACAATTAAGAGCTCAGGCTATCAAGCCAGAATAATTAAGCACATTGTACATATGCCAGCAAAGGAAACAGAAGCCACTGAAACGTAGTTTAGTAAATTTCTCCTTCTGATAAATAAAGCAAATAAAAATAAAGCTAAAAATAAATTGAATTATATTTCAGGCATGGTTATTAGTACATCTCTGTTCCCTCAGACCTTATTTTGTTATACTCTACCAATTATATGCTGCATGACCAATTTGACACACAGAATCAAGATATACGGCAGACTTCTGTGCAGCCACTGGAGAAGGTATCTGAGCTCCGAGAGAGAGCTGCCGCCGTGTTCCTCGGAGTCTGGAGTGGAATCGTCGAGCCCCCCTGCTTCGCCGTGGGCATGTCCGTGTGAGCGACTTAGGGACCCCGGCCGGGAGCTTGTGTTTTCTCTGACTTCTCCCCCAGCAGAGTTTAGCTGTATGCGAACATCTCCGCTCTGATGACATGAGCTCTCCCCTGACAACCTCGCTGTGTGGGCACTTTGAGGAGACGAAGAGTCATTGCCACTCCCTTGGATGTTGTGGAGATGACTGCAGTGTGGTTGCATGGTGGGATTGGTTTTTTCTGGTCCAGATTCTTGCTATTTTGTTTCCTAGAGTGGAATATAAAAAGTCAGAGCTGAAGGAAAAGAGAACTAGTTCACTGGGGCAAAAAAAAAAAACCACAGAAAAAATACAGTAGATTGTACTGAGTAATTGCCTGCATGAAGTAAAGATTCTCTTTCTGAGACGCTGTCTTTGTTCCGAAAGCTGGCATGCTGGGGTTGCACTCTGTCTCCGCGGGGCAACTTTGTGCTGTATTAAATGACTTCCTTTCATTCACGTGCAGATCTAGGCTGCAGTGAGCCTGGCTGCCTTTGTAAAATCTAAAGTTGCTTCAGTGCAGGTCACAAGATGCTGAATAGGAGCCCAGCACTAGCTCGTACAGGAGAGATCGCAGAAGTGCTGCATAATTTCACAAAAATAGTATCAGTAGTAGGACAAGGAAGGAGCAAACAATGATGGGAAGGAAGCAAAGAGTGTATTTACATGCATCCATAAAACAGTAAGCATTGTTCAGGGACAAGTCTAGTCAAAAGCCGGTGCATGCTCAAAATTGAGGGCCATTATGAGATTAATGAGATTATCCTGTCTGGGTAAGTGAGCAGAACCAGGTTAGTCCATTTTAAGAAGCATTTACAAGAGCCTGGACCATATGGTCTATGTAAAACAAAGGAGCGCAGCCTAACAGTGAGACCACCCAAGTGTGGTCTTACTTATCTGCCCTTTGGCATCTTCCCGTCTTCTTCCTGACCAGTTTTTCACTTCTGTGTCAGGCTTTAGATGGGTTAAACAAGGTTAAATCTACTTCTCTGGACTGGTGTGACATGAGAATAATGATTTTGGAGAATGCTTTGAAGCTGGATTTGGCACAGTACTTGTCACTATCAAATAATATTACTGAAACACTGGGAATTTTTGCTATAATCTTTTTTTTTTTTCAGTAATTCACTCTTCCAGATTCCTCTTTCAAATTACTTTTTCCAAAGCTTTGCTAGTTTCACTGGGGATACAAAAAGGTTAAAGCGAAATTGGCTTTCCACTGCAAGAAGTTCTTGATGTATTTGCACAAAACTAGATTTTTTTTTTTAGCCTTTAAAATGGAAATTAGATTGGAAGAGTAAATTGCATGAATTTAAAAAATATCCGAATTGGGGAACTTAGTACTATTTGGAAAAGCTGCTGCTACTACTGTACTTTTATTGGCCAGAGATTACATCATACTTCAGTCGAGCCAGAATTCACGTTCTGTCATTTCATGCACATGAATAAAGCAAATAAACTGGCAAGAGTATTGCCTTGTGTGAACAGTATTACTCCGTGTGTCTGCAGGATCAGGCCTCGAATGCTGTTTTAAGATGGGTGGAATAATAATAATTAAAAAAATCTCATTAGCACTCTTCAGTTTGTGGTTTAGGGCCTGCTTCTGCAGAAACTTGCCGGTTCGGTGTTCAGCAAACAGCGAGCGATCCCATTGTTCGAGCAAGGCAGCCTCTTCCCGTGGCGCTCTGCCCAACAAACTTTCAAGGCACCAACTTACTGAAGGGGATTTCAAAGGCCAGCCAGTCCGCACCCAGCGGGCGGCCTCCGGAATTCCTCTCGCCCCCTCCCCTCCCGACTGGATAAAATCAGGTCTTTGAGGAAGTCTCTTCTCTTCGAACCTTCCCCTGGGCCGCTGCCTCCCACCGCAC